AACAAAGAGATAAGGTGGGGGAAAGAAATGCTGTGCTCTTTACAAAGCAAATTAATCCTTTATAAGTAAGATAGAGTCCACTGTCACATGCATGCCCACACATTATGAGAGAGTATAAAATTGTGTATCAAAACAATCCCCTTCAATATAAAGATAAAGGTGGTGTAATTGAATAAAAAACCCATGAAAAATTGACTTTGCAAGCATTTGTTTAACAAAAAATTAACAGATATGCCATTTCCTTCTATGGAAAAAGTAAGTACATCCTTGGCTCTAACGCCTGGTATAAATAACCTCAAGCAGGCATTACTTATGACTGCCTACCAGTCTCTGACATCCACTGGAAGGAATTTTTTCCCACTTCTCCATGCAAAATTTTTTCGGCTGTGCGACGTTTGAGGGGTTTCTTGCATGTACCGCCTGTGTCAAATTACCCCACAGTATCTTGATGGGATTTAGATTCAGACTTTGACTCGGCTGTTCCAGAACTCTTGGTTTCTTTTTTTTTTCCTTCAACCATTCCTTGGTAGATTTACTGGACTGTCCAGGGTCATTGTCATGTTGCAAGGTCCACTTTTGCTTGAGCTTCAATCTTCTGATAGATGGCCTCATATTATTCTCAAGCACCCTCTAGTACAATGAAGAATTCATAGTAGATTTTATGATGGTGAGCTGGCCAGGCCCTGATGCAGCAAAGCAGCCCCAGCCCATAACATTTCCACCACCATGGTTTACAGTTGGGAGCAGGTTCTTCTGGTGAAATGCTATTTTTGGTTTTCATCAGACATGTCTTCTGGTATTGTGGCCAAATAACTCTGTTTTTACTTCATCTGTCCAGAGCACAATGTTCCAGAAGTCCTGTTCTTTGCTCAGGCATTCATGAGCAAACTTTAATCTTGGTCTGATGTTCTTTCTGGACAGCAGTTTTCCTCCTGGCACACCTCCCATGTAGATATAATTTGTGTAGCTTCTTTATAATGATAGACCCATGCACTTGACCAATAGTGGGAAGTGCTGTCTGTAGGTCACATGATGAATTTCTGGGTTTCTTAGAGACTTCTCTCAGCATCGTGTGCTCTACTCTTGGGTTGAACTTGCTGGGATGGCCTGGTAGGGGCACGTTGGCAATTGTTTGAAATCTTCTCCACTTGTAGATTATCTTCTGGCCAGTGGAATGATTGATGCCCAATTGTTTAGCAATCTTTTCCAATCTCTTCCCAGACTCATAGGCATCTATAAACTATTTCTGAAGGCCTCAGAGAGCTCTTTCGATCTAGGCATGGTGAGACCACCCACTTCAACAACAAAGAGCAAATCAAACTAAAGGTCTGAGGTTTCCATAAGACAGGTTCCTCCCAGAATCTCTCTAACAATGTTGTAATAATTTGCATCCAATCTGGTGCACCTGATTCTAATTTTAGTATTTGTGCTAGTGATAAATGTAGGGGTAATGCTTACTTTTTCCACATGCAAAATTTGCATTTCTGTTTATTTAAATTACACTATGGATTAGAAAAAGTACATGATGCATAATATTTGTTGTATTACTGTATATCCTCTTTATCAATATTTTTGAAATGAAGATCAAATATTCGTAGGTT